ATATATATATATATAAAAGGTAAAAACAGGTAAAAGTTTATACCAAAAATTTCAATTTTAACTACAGAAGTATAACAGAAAGACAACCTGACAAGGTCCATGCCCAGTAATGCTTCTTCATTACAAACTTCTACTCTTCCCCACACAGCTTCATTCCCAATGCAAACTCCATGCTCATTGGCTCCCATTTCTGCCCCCCATAACCATGCTGGGCGACTAAGGACAACAGCATGTGTTTCAGGAACTTGATCAATTTCTATGTAAGTACACTGAAAAAAGAAAAAAAAAAGTCATAGCAAAAACCACAAAAACAGACATTTATCAAAATTCAGAATTTCAAGAAAAACAGAAGACATGATTGTTATGAACAACAAAATAAGGGTCAGCCAGTGGCAAGATGGCTAAGGCAGCTGGATCCCTCATGACTGACAAGGCAGATCAGATCTTGGGTCAGCAGCTTGGGAGATACACGAGGTGCATGTGTATGGTATACCCAAAATCCCGCAAAGGAAGGAGAAGGGACTGCTGTGTGACTGTCCCCGTTGTGTGTGCATGTGTGCGCGTGTGTGGAGAGTATCTTTCTCTCTCTGTCTCTCTCTCACTCTTTCACTCTTTCTCCCTCTCTGATCCGTACATGTGCCCTCTGGCAACATTTTTTTTTAAAGAAAGGAAATATAAATTGTAACTTTCAATAATAAAGGCATTTGCCTGAAAATATATTCAAAATTGACCCTAACATACTTATTCACTTAAACACTTACTAAGCACCTCCTCTTACAAAGCACTCTGGAAAAGATGTGTTAGTTACTAAGACAAAACAGATATATGTCTTGCTTTCAAGAAACTACAACTTTCTGGGGCCAGCTGGTGGTGTGGTGGCTGAGGTGATGAACTCCTACAGGGCTGACTGGTTTGGGTCCGGAACTCAGTGCCTTGAAAATCACACGAGGCACATGTGTGTGTGTGCCCAAGATCCTGAGAGGAGAATGGAGAAGGGATCGCAGTGTGGTCATCTCCTCTAAGGGGGTGATTTCTCATTTTCTCTCTCACGGTCTCTCTCTGGCGAGTACATGTACCCTATGCAAAACTCTTTAAAAAGAGAGAGAGAGAGAGAAAGAAAAAAAGCAACTACAACTTAAACATTATGTAAGATACAAGAAAATATAAAGTATAAGGGTCATGAAGAGAAGTGAAAATGAAGAATTTCAGAAGCTCAGGAGAGAGATGGTTTCGTCAGGAATCCTTGAAACGTTTTCTAGAGGAAGGCATATGTGAGTTGAAATTTAAGGAAGTGTTAAAAGAAAAATTAACTAGCCAATTTAATAAGAGTTTTAATAAAGCAAATTTTAACATGATTTAAATCAGGCAGTTGTCTCTGGACTTTTGGACAGTTTTGGCTAGCTTCGTGGTCAACTAGGCATACAATTCAGTGGAACAGAAAAGTGTTGTACAAAAAACATAAGTGAGGGAGTGAGGTAGAGAATCATGGGTTATATTTTGATGTTTGTCTGTACTAACACAGTTTAAAAGGCAGGATGCTTGTGATGGACTAAAGCTTAGTTGTTGCGACTGAAACTTAGCAACTAGCTCAGAAAAATAGCCTAACATATAAGATTTTGGTTTATTTATAGGAATTTAAGCATGGGAGTACAGTGGCTATTTTAGGCCAAAATAGCTTAATTTAACAGCAGTTCTTGATTTGAATATCCACTGTTTCTTTATTGGTGGTATTAGTGATACAAAGTATTACTATAGGAGCCCATGTCCTGTGGAAGTCATCCTTTGATTGTGTGCAGAGCAATGAAAATAAAGAGATGCACTAGTCTATAGGAAATTAGATTTGAATATGAAGAGAAGGGCTAGATGGTAACACAGCTAAAATACTGCTGTGTGAGACGGACCTACGTGGAAGGTTCCAAATTCACACCTGGAGACCTCCCTGAGTCCCCCTGGCATGTACATGCTCCTAACCCAAGGCTGGCTGAAGCTGGGTTGAAGCTGATCAGAGCATCAAGGCCTGTTGGGAGTGCTTGTCTCACTTTCTCTGTCTCTCACACCTGCTCATTAAATAAATAAGTACACTTTAAAAGACATTTAAAGATGGGAGGGGTGAAGAAAAAAAAGTCAGTCTTTTTTTTTTTTTTTTTCCAGAGTGGCTATAGCATTTAAAATATAAATATTTTGAAATAAATACAAAGAGGTAAAGTGGAAATGGCATCTCAACTGAACAGTCTCAGTAAGAAAATAACACTATACAGAAAACATCTAATATTTAATATACTTTAAAATTACAATATCAACACAAGAGATACAATCCAAAAAGTATATAAATTAGCAGTAAATGCATAATTTGAAGCTCTCACTTTTGTTCTATTTTGTTTTTTGCTATAGGGCACATGCACTCGCTGGAGAGAGACAGAGTGTGTGCATGCATGTACACACATTCAACGTGTTTTTCAAGCTACCAGGTCCAGGACTCCAATCACAAAGTCACCATGTGAGATCCAGCACCTTAATCACCATGCCACCTGCTGGCTCAAAGCTCTCATGTTCACTTCTGTGTTAAATAGAATTTTTAAATAAATTTTAAGAGATTCTTTAATTGATGTGTATTATTACCAAATTACTATAAAAAATGCATTTTAATGATGTTACTGCAGGACCTAATAAACTTTATTTGACAAGTGTCATAAAATTGTTATTCCAGAGGCTGGAAGAATTTTCCTATAACATACTAATCAGAATCCTGTTGTCCATTAAACTCCACCTGAAACCCCAACTCCTAGTGAAACCTGCATTGGTCCGTAGTTGAATAAAATGTTCTTCTGCTGCCACAGCATGCTGTTTTTACTTAAATTTAGCATTTAAGCCATCTTATTTTATAATGGGGACAATAGCATAGATATCCTATTCCTATACTAAAATCTAAGGTTCTGGAAGACAAAGATCAAGTCTTGACAGCTGATTTAATTATTTGTAAGAAATTATTTATTTAATTTTATTTCTTTATTTTTATTTGCTATAAGGTATGTGCACTTGTCAGAGACATCAAGAGAGAAAGAGAGAAAGAGAATGTGAGAAAACAAGCCCCTGGTCCAGGACTAAAACCACAGTCAGCCATGTGGGAGTCCAGTGCCCTAACCACCATACCACCTGCTGGCCTCGACAGCTGATTTTAAATCCCTTGCCCTATTTAACGTTCTTACATACAGAAAGCATTCAAATAGTTGATCAAAGAATTAATTATTTATTATTGTCTTCAGTGCCCTCCAAATCACTGAAATAGATCATAGATTTACCTGACTCATTATTTTTCAAACTTACTTAATTGTAACTTCTAGAGTCTCTGCTAAGTTTCTAGCTGATGACAGAAATACCTATTTGGAGACCAGCAGATGGCGTAATGGTTACCTCACTGGACTCCCACGTAGTCCACTGCAGTTCGAGTCCCAGACATGGCGGCTTAAACTTCACACTGGGTGCGTGTGCATGTGTGCCCAGGACCCAAGAAGAGAATGGAGGAGTAGGTATTGTGACTGGCCATCACCCCGGGGTGGGGGGGTGATTTCTTGCTGTCTCTGTCTCTTTAGCGAGCACATGCTCCCTATAGCAAAAATCTCTCTCCCAATAAAGGAGAAAGAAGTACCTATTTTGATATTTTTTAAAAAGCACCTACCTTAAGACGTTCTCCCAGGTTATCGTGAACAGCAGCAGGAAAATAAACTACCTCTTGTACTTCATCGCAGAGTCTATCTGAGTTTTTTCCGAAAATAATTCTGTTACCAACCGTTGCTGGAGGTAAAGCCACGAAAGTGTCACAGGAACAAAGTTCCATTTTTGTTACTAAAAAATCATATACAAATTTCAAAATTAAAAGAGAAAACATTTTTTAAGTATGTAAAAACAGGGTTTTATTCAAGGACCAAGGGGAACATTATTGCCATATCTAATAAAGGATGTTCATTAAAGTTTTAAATTTTATATACTATAGTATAAAGGAATATGACTTGGGGGGGCCAGCAGGTGGCATAGTGGTTAAGGTACGGGACTCCCACATGGCCAACTGTGGTTTGGGTCCTGGACTCAGAGGCTTAGAACTCATACCAGGCATGTGTGCATGCATGCCCCAAATCCCGAGACAAGAATGGAGAAGGGATTGCAGCATGACCATCCCTCCCAGGGAGTGATTTCTTGCTTTCTGTCTCTAGGTTTCTGTCTCTCTGGTGAGTGCACACTCGTGTGTGTGTGTATAATGTATATATATTATATATGATGTATATATATATATGTGTGTGTGTGTGTGTATATATATACACACACACACACATGATTTGAGAATCAATCTCATACTATAAGAATAAATAAGACAATGACAATGTGACCTATCTTCTTCAAGTCTATAGGTCAAATTTATGTTCTTAGGCCTTCTTTTCCTGAAGTCTTCTCTGAGTTTTCATTCACTAGTCCCATCCTTGAGAATCTTCATAGTTAGCTCTAGGGTGGTAAAGGCTATCTTCTAATATATTTGTGCACCTATATGAGTTTTTCCTTACTAGACAGTGAGCTCCTTGAGGGGTGGAAGTATGTCTTGTTAATCTTTGTATTCTCATTGCTGAAATTTATGAGGAAAAAATGTTATGTTAGTAACTAACTAGTATTTCCTCAAAGGAAGGAAGAACGTTCTTCTTTGAGATAGGGAAACAAAACACAGATTATAATACTGATAAAACTGAAAAAAAAATTTTTTTTGGAGAGGTTTTTGCTATAGGGTGCATGCGCTCGCCAGACAGACAGAGAGAAACAGAGAGACAGAAAGGGAAAAATCACCCCCCGGGGGGATGGCCACGCCACCATCCCTTCTCCTCCATTCTCCTCTCAGGATCTTGGGCATGCACACACACGCGCCCGGCATGAGTTTTAAGCTACCGGGTCTGGGACATAAACTGCGGTCCACTACATGGGAATCCAGCGACATAGCCATTACACTAACTGCTGGTCCCCATAAAACTGAAATTTTGAAACAGATTCACTGATTCAGACACACAAAAAGATAATCTAATCCCAAACTGTTGATGTTTACAGAGGAAGTTCACATACAAGGGTACTTCAACAAGTTCATGAAAAATAAAATGAAAGTTTATTTTAGTGCAAAAAATTTTTAATCTAGGTATCATTTTTCTTTTTTTTTTTTTTAGAGGTTTTTGCAATAGGGCGTGTGCACTTGACAGAGAGACAGAAAGCGAGAAATCACTCCCCAGTGGGGATGGCCACACCGCAATCCCTTCTCCTCCATTCTCCTTTCAGGATCTTGGGCATGCGTGCACACACACCCATATTGAGTTTAAGCTACCAGATCCGGGACTCAAACCACGGTCAACTACATGGGAGTCCAGGGACATAGCCATTATGCTAACTGCTGTTCCCCTATGTATCATTTTTCCATAATATGCATTTCCCATGAACTTTTGGAAGGCCCCTTAGATAAAACTTACCAATCCTGATTGCAGACTTTAGTATCTCTATTTTCTCTTCATTTGTAAGTTAAAAAATCTTTTTTTAAAGAATTATCTATTTAATTTTATTAATTATTTTTTCTAATTTGCTATGGGGCATGTGTGCTCACCAGGGAGAGATGGAGAGAGGGAAAATGAGAATGCAAGCCATCATGTCCAGGACTCAAACCACAGTTGTCCATGTGGGAGTCCAGCGCCTTAACCACCACTCCACCTACTGGCCTCGTAATTTGGAAAATATTTTTTTTTTCTCAGAGAGATTTTTGCTATAGGGTGCAAACACAAAAAAGACTGAGAGAAAGCAAGAAAACCCACAGGGGGTGATGGCCATGCTGAAATCCCTTTTGCTTCATTCTCCTCTTAGGATTTTAGGCACTCACGCACATGTGCTCGGCATGAGTTTTAAGGCACCAGGTCCAGGACTTGAACTGTGGTCAACTATCTGGGAGTCCAGTGACATAACCATTACACCATCTGCTGGTCCTAGGTTGGAAAATTGTAAGTCTTCAATTTTAGTAGAACACCTAAGTGTCCTATACTTTATATTTTTCTTTCAGAATGGACATGTTGTTTTAGCTTCCTTCTTTCTTTGATTTAATAATGCCCAAACCTTAGAACAGCTTTACACAGACAGGTACTAGCAATTTAAAAACAAAATTTAAATGTAATAAATGTTTTATTAAGAGGGGAAAAATGATTAAAGAAACAAACAACTTCAACCTGAAACTCCTAAGAGTTTTTGTCTATGTTGGGAAGAGAGGGGTCGAGTTTGTCTTTTCTGTTTGTGTTTTAGCTATTATGTCCAGGATCTCTTATTTGTGTTTCAAAGTACGTGTCACAATTACATAACTTTGACAGACTTTTTACTTTCTCTGTGCCTACTGCCTCTCTGGTAAAATCAAATATACATACTGAAGGGACTGTTATGAGAACTTAATAAGTCAACACGTAAAGCGTTTTGCATAGTGCATGGAACAGAGTAGACACTCAAATGAAAGTTATTAACTGGCAGAAGACGTTACTCCTCACAGAAGCCATATTCTTAAGATCGCTAGGGCTGAAGGACTGCTTGGCAGATCCGCTACTGCAGCAGCAGCCAAGTCCACCCAAAACCCTAGAGTCCCAAGAGCAACCAGCTACGCCGAGCTGTCAACCGCGTGGTAAGGGAAGATAAGACTTCCCACCTGCACCTAATCCATTTAGGAGCGGGAGCTCTGAGAGCCTTTATTAACTCCTAATGCGTGCTCATCATTCACGTTTACGAACATCTTTCTGCGCCAGCCACGTACAGCTGGGAAAAGCTGGTAACAAAACAGACAGGACTCCTGCTCTTGTGCAGCTGACAGTCTATCTTACGCGCTTTAATTCACCAACCACTCTCGGCAAAGCGCTTCACAAGCTTTCTACAAACCGACTACAGTCAGGGCGAGAGTTACTATTTCCGTAACACACATGACATTTGTGCCGAAAAGGTTTTGCAACTCGAGCAGAGTTCACAGAAAGTGATGGGCTCGCACTTGCAGCACTTCATGCAGAAGAGCGGCAGGGGGCCCCTGCAGCTGACCGCGCACCGAGTCCTCTCTCCCCGCTCCGCGACGCTCAGCCCGCCCGCGGACCCGGCCCTCACCTGGCTTTCAGGTGAGCTACACCCAGGACCGGAGGACGGAACCGGGAGCAGAGCGGAGGCCCCCGCGGCCGGAAGCTGTCACCTCTGACCTCGGAAGTTCCCGCTGCCCTGGAGGCGCAGTTCCGGTTAGGCGGCGGAGTTTGTTTACGTTGCTGACATTTGCAACTGCCTTCTCCAGCTCCGGCTGCAAGATGGGGAAGTCTTTCGCCAACTTCATGTGCAAAAAGGACTTTCATCCGGCTTCTAAATCCAATATCAAAAAAGTAAGCCAAGGGACCGGGAGGGGGATCTGGCCCGCGGAGACTGGGTTCCCAGAGGCTGCTGGAGGGGAGCGTGGGGGGAGCTCAGGGCAGACGCCTCTTCCCTGGGCCTAACGCTCTGCTGCTCTCGCCCCTTCCCTGCTGGGCAGCTCGCAGACGCGGAGGGTCCTCAATGCTTATTCTACATGCGGGAGTGTAGATCCACAGATTGTGGATGGAGACTGATTAGAGTCCTCCATACTCCCCTCGGCTGTTCGGTTTTGTCCGTTCGGATCCCAGAGATCACGCCTTTGTAGCTCTGCTCCCCTGTACAAAGATTTCCTATTTATTTGCGCTAGATCTTGAAAGATCAATTCACCCGATTCCACTCTTCATCCCACTCGACAGTGTATTAATAGTAGTTCTGCCCGACGACCTTGTTGAAGTTTAGCGTTTCCAGTACAGTAATTAATTACAGGTCTAGAACTAGGCACAGTACTAAAGGTCGTGCCGTATACTGTAGCAGTGAAAAGCAGAATGGTGAGGCAAGAAAAGCCTGGACTTCTCTAAAAACAATCACTTTGATCTCTGAGATCTAGCATGAAATACTTAAAGTCTCTGATTTTCAGTCTATACATGAAGAGTGATAAATATCAGTTGCCTTGACTTACAAAATTGTGCTGGGATTAAATGAGATGGTGTAGTTAAAGGATTTGAAACAAAAAAGAAGGCATCTAGCATTGTTCCAGACACAGAGAGAATGCTCAATGACAATAATTGTCCCCAACACAAAACTTTTGCAGATGAACTGAGATTTTAGTCGCTGCTTTTTTTTTTTTTTTTTAATGTCCGAGGGTCCAAGAGAGAGACAGAGAGAAAGAGAAGAAGAGAGAAAGAAAGCGATCCCCCACCATAAGGTTCTGGTCATACCCAGTTCCCCCTCTCGTTCCTCCCTCCGGTCAGGATCCTGAGCATTCCACACAACCATCGTGTTTTTCAAGTCACTGAGGTGGGAGTTCCAACCACAGCTGGCCATGTGAGCTCCAGCTCTCTCCACACAGCACTTCACTACTGTGTTTAGAGCCAGGCTTAGTTGTTTTTAAGACCCGTTAGAGTGAGTTGTATGTATGACGTTTCTATCTATATACATACACATGTGATATGTTAACCATACATGTCAAAAGAATGTGTATGCATGCATTATATATTGGGTTATTAGAAAAGCGATGTATTTTTCTGTTTTTCTATGCAGAATACATCCTGACTTTTCCTACAACCCAATATGTTCCACTGCATCTGTGTGCACTGGAATATTTGTTGGGATATATAAGAAATGGATAACACTGGCCACCTATGAATACAGTTACTCAATTTATTTTATTTTATTTTATTTTTTTTGCTATAGGGCACTTGCCAGACAGAGTGGGAGTGAGAAAATATTACCCAGGGGGGGACAATCAAGCCTCAATTTCTTCCCCATTCTCTTCTCGGTATTTTGGGCACACTGCTGCACTGCACACTCATCTAACGTGTTTTTCAAGCTGCTAGGTCCAGGATTCGAACAGCACATTTGACTGTGTAGGATCCAACTGCCTTCACCATCATATCACTGGCCAGCCCTAGTTACTTAATTTAAAAATATATAACTTTTAAAAACTAAAACTTGCTAAAAAGCATTCTATCAATATAATACAAGCCTTACTCTTTAACTCCCAAAGTTATTCACTGTCTTGTTGTGTTTTTCTTTCAATATCATGCATATTGCTGTTGTCCAAATGTCAAACTTTATTATTATTAGCTTATTCAATTTGTGTCTCTTTTTTTAATCATAAAGTAGTTTAAGTGTACAGAAAAGTCACTATGATTTTGTTAACAGATTCTGAACATGTTGAAGGGAGTAGTATATATTATTTCGTATTCTAATCCATGGAATCACATGAATCTTTATGTAAATTATAGGTAGTTTTGGAAAAAAAGTAGCCACTCGCAAGTACAAGATTAAAGAAGACACTTCACAGGGAAAGAATAGAATCCTATCATTAGGACATTAATTTACAAAAAATTAACTTAAGATTCAGTAAGGGATATTGAGCTTTTTTTTTTTTTTGGAGAGGTTTTTTTTGGAGAGGTTTTTGCTATAGGGTGCGTGCACTCCCCAGAGAGAGAGAGACAGAAGCAAGAAATCACCCCCCCCCCCGGGGGGTTGACCATGCCGCAATCCCTTCTCCTTTCTCCTCTTAGGATCTTGGGCATGCACGCACATGCGCTCGGTATGAGATTTCTTAAGCCACCGGGTCCAGGACTCAAACCACTGTCGACTACGTGGGAGTCCAGCGACATTAACGCTAACTGCTGGTCCCAGGATATTGAGCTTTTAAGCAACTGTAACTGGTGGAATAACTTTGTAAAATCTAAAGCTTTAGATAAATGGTAGCTATTCTTTTAGAAGTAATGTGTTATTCTACCAGACAGTGATGCTTTGCAACTCTCTATAGCATTGTTTGCAACTTAGACTTCAGTGAAAATTCCAAACAGTCCTATACTTGGGATAGGCAGTAAGACATACAACCATAATATTTCAGTGGAATTTAGTTTCAGAACTTATTTCAAAAGAAAAGTCTGGGTGCAGGGCAGGTCTCAGCACAGTGATTAATTGTTGTGCAGAAGAACCTCAATCCCACATCGCCAACCAGAGTTCAAGTCCTAGCCCAGTGGTCTTGAAAAAACACGCCGGACTTGCACTTGCCTGGAACCATGAAGGGACAGAGAACTGGAGGAAAATTTACTGTGGCATGACCAGACTCTGGGAATGCACATGCTCTCTCACTCTCTTTCTCTGATGCACACACGCATGTACGTGCGTGCCCAAGATCCCGAGAGGAGAATGGAGGAAAAGGGATTGTGGCATGGCCATCCCCCCCCCCCGGGGATGGGAGGGTGATTTCTCACTTTCTGTCTCTCTGTCTCTCTGGTGAGCACACGTGCCCTAGAGCAAAAACCTCTAAAAAAAAGTATATATATAAAAAAGAAAAACAAAAATAAAACAGATTCTGTTGGGAGTGCTGTCTCTGTCTCTCTCAATGATGGAAGAAATAAATAAAATTTTAAAAGAAATTTCTGGTATGTTCTGTTCCCAATGGATTCCCTTTTATTTCTATTTTTGCTTTGATCTCCTAGTCCACATCTTAAACGCTGTCTCTGAAGGACCTGCCTACCTCAATGCTACTAAAAAGTTAATAACTACTCCTGTTTTGCCTCTAAAGTTAAATAATGGCAGTCTGGTCCCACACCCTCCCTGTACTTTCCCTCCCACCTACAGTTTATAATTATCTTAGTGTAAGTGTTTGTCCTTAGGTTTACATTCTTTTTTTAATTATTTTATTTTATTTATTCACTCTTTTTTTTTTGAGAGAAGTTTTGGTATAGGGTGCATGCGCTCGCCAGACAGACAGAGAGAGACAGAGAGACAGAAGGCGAGAAATCACCCCCCAAGGGGGATGGCCACACTGCAATCCCTTCTCCTCCATTCTCCTCTTGGGATTTTGGGCACGCACTTACACACGCCTGGCGTGAGTTTTAAGCCACCGGGTCCGGGACGTGAACCACGGTCAGGTACGTGGGAGTCCAGCAACATAGCCATTACGCTAACTGCTGGTCCCTTCACTCATTTATTTTTTAATTTGACCAGAGAGAGACAAAGGGTGAGAGTAAGAGAGAGAGGAAGTGAGAAAGCAAGCCACCAGATTCAGGACTAGAACCCTGGTCAACCGTGTGGGAGTGTCCAGTGCCTTAACCACCATGCCACCTGCTGGTCCCCTAGGTTTACATTCTTAAAATAGCATGCTTGTAAAGAAAGGTTTGATTTGCTATTTATGTTGAATGGTTGTCACTTTGTCCTCTCTTCTAAAGGTGGCCGGGAGATATTGATGCCTTTTAAGCCTGGAAGTAACACGATTAAATATCCATACATAAGTTGTGTGGGCCTTTTACCTTCACTGCTGTTATGATTTTAGTTTCACATAGGGACACATTTAGCATGTGGCATTCGTGACCTTGAGCAACTACAGAGCGTCTGATACATTTCTCTGCTGTCTTTGTTTCTTTTGCCTCAGCTTTTTCTACAACTACTTTTCATTTTGCTCTTTTTTCTCCACCTCTTCTCCATTTCTCCTGTCTTAGGATGAGGTGACACGCAGTAACATCCATGGTCATTGTTTAACCCTACTAGTTGTGTCCTGTTTTGAAGTTACTTTTTGGGTCATCAGAAAAGTCATAACACATTTTTCTATGTAAAAATTTTTTCTATATAAAATTTTCCTACATAGAAATGAGTCATGACTTTTCTGATGACTCAGTAGACTAGACACCTAGGTGGTTATAGAGGGAGAGTTGTTCTGTTCTCTGAAATTACATAGACAGTAAGTACAAAAGTTTACTGTATCACACATGCACAGAGTAGTTCTTTTTTTTGGTGGGGGGGGAGGTTTTTGCTACAGGGCGCGTGCGCTCGCCAGAAAGACAGAGAGAGATAGAGAGTCAGAAAGTGAGAAGTCACCCCCCAGGGAAGATGACCACGGTGCAATTCCCTTCTCTATTCTCCTTTCAAGATCTTAGTCACGCACGCACAGGTGCCCAGCGTGAGTTTAAGCCACCAGGTCTGGGACTTGAGCCACGGTCGACTACAAGGGAGTCCAGCGACATAGCCATTATGCCAACTGCTGATCCCCAGAATGGTTCTTGAGTTTGACATTTTTGTCTGAAATGTATTTTGGATGGTTAGATTTAAGGATTTATAACAAAATACAAATCAGGTTTTTTTAGTGTCATTTTCTGATAATGTGACTAAATTAGATCATGTTGTAAACTATAAACAATAGTATTTTATATTTGTTATCAAAGAAAAGCACACTAATTTAAATCCAACTACTCGATTTATATTTATTTTACTTTTCTAATGTAGGTATGGATGGCGGAACAGAAAATATCATATGATAAGAAGAAACAAGAAGAATTAATGCAACAGTATCTTAAAGAGCAAGAATCATATGATAACAGGTAAGAAATTCTGCTGTGCCAGTGTTTTTAGCATAACCCATTGCACAAGAATAATTCCTTACTGAATCTTAGATTAAGTTAATGTTCTAAAAATGAGTGTTCCAATGACAGGATTCTATTCTCTCCCTGTGAAGTGTCTTCTTCACTCTCATTCCTCTAGAAGGCTCCTTTTTCTAACTTTACCTATAATTTACTTAATGATACATGTGACTTACATACTGTAAGCCAGTTCTAAAGTAGACAAAGCTTAAGGAACAGTAAGCACCTATGCTTAGACCGTGCGCTCTCTTACAAAGGTTTTTCTTTAACATACTCTCAAAAAAAAAAAGATGCATATATACTTGAAGGAGTGAAGAGAAGTGTCCCAATTTGATCTGAATGATGTTGTTCTTGTAATAGCAGGATTGTGCCTAGAATTCCTCCTTGGTTTATTCCAGCAAGGTACTGTCCTTTAGCCACTGTCATTTATGTTTATATTTGCAAATCTAACACAAGCTGCTTTCCCTTGGTTAATGAGTCAAGTGGATATTAGCTTTTCAGTTACATATATCATACTCTGAACTAAAGAACATTTGCTCCTTTTTGAAATTCTGGAACAGAACAATACATTTTTCTCCTCAGTATTTTTTATCATAATATGGAATTTAAGCAATTAAGTGAGTAATACTAAACTATTACTGTTTGTTGTTGTTGTTGTTGTTGTTGTTTTGAGGTTTTTGCCATAGGGCACGTGCATTTGCTGGAGAGAGACGGACAGAGGGAAAGTGAGAAATCGCTCCCTTGGAGGATGGCCATGCCACAGTCCCTCCTCCTCCATTCTCCTCTTAGAATTTTGGGCATGCACACACAGCATGATTTATAAGCTGCTGGGTCTGGGACTCAAACAGTGGTCAGACCTGAAGGAGTTCAGCACTTTAACAACCACACCACTTACAGGTCCCTACATTATTGCTGCTCCTTAAGATGTAACATATAATATTGGGGCCAGCAGATGGCATAACAGTTACATCGCTGGACTCTCACATGGCTGACCACAGTTCAAGTCTCAGACCCAGTAGCTTGAAACTCACACCAGATGTGTTGTACATACATGCCCCAAATCTCAGGAGAATGGAGAAGGGATTGTGATGTGGCCATCCCCCCCAGGGGGTGATTTCTTACTTTCCCTCTCACTGTCTCTCTCTCCAGTGAGCACATGTGCCCTAAGGCGAAAACTTCTTTTTAAAAAAAATGTACACACACGTATATATCAAGAGCAAAATTAAAGAAACAGATTCCATTTAATTAAGTTCAATTAATTTATTTTATTTTAGCTGGCTAAACTTTTTAAAAGTTTATTGCTGTTTTCCTTCCATAAATGAGAGAAACAGAGAGGCAGACACCCCCAACATGACCTTTTATAGCTCATCCATCCCCAGCTTTAGCCAGCCGGATGATCAGCGCATGTGCCTGGCGTGTTTAGTGAGTCTTCAGGCACCAACCCAGTATCTTCCCACGTGGGTCAGCCTCACAGAGCATCGTGTTCTAGTTCCAGCTCTAAGCAACCACTAACTTACTTTCTGTCTGTGTGGATTTGCCTATTCTGGATATATCATATAAATAAAATTATACATTTTATGGTCTTCTATGGCTGACTTCTTTCACTTGGCTTAATTTCTTTAAGTTCATCTGTAGTGGAATGTATCGGTATTTCATTGCGGGACAGTATTCAATTGTGTAGATGTAGATTCCTACATCCTTTCGTTTCCTATTTTTAAATGTTCTTCTTTCATGAAAGAGAGAGAGAGACAGAGGAAGAGAGAAGCACCCTAAATTTGATCTAACACTGATTCACCAGCGTTGTGGGCACACAGGCTGGTGTGTACCGGTCATGTGGGAACCAAGCCTATGATCTTCCCTATGGATCCAGCATCACTTAAGAAGAGCATTAAGACAGTACCATCATCTTTTTTTTTTTTTTTTGCCATAGGCCACATGCAACCACTGGAGAGAAACAGGGTAAGGGGGAGTGAGAAATCACTTCGCAAGGAGAATGGCCATGCTACATTTCCGTCCCCTTCATTCTCCTCTCAGGATTCTGGGCATGCATGCACACATACCCCGTGTTTGTTTTAAGCCACCGGGCTCAGGTCTCAAACCACAGAGTTGGCTAACTGGTGCTTTGTCACCATGCCGCCTACTGGCTGTTTGTTGTTTTCTTTACAGTTCTTGAATAGAATCCATTGGAAACAAGGGGAGTTATTATATAATCATGTAGTATATCCTTTGTGATTGCCTCTTCCAATTATAAGAGAAAATTGTATTTGTTCTTTAGCCATCTTCTTTGTAATTGCACTTTACTTGGATTTTATGAATTAAACTTTAACTGAACCATTCAATTTGGTGCAGATTTTTTTTTCTAAAAAGTCTAACATAGAGGGAACCAGCAGTTAGCGTAATGGCTATGTCACTGGACTCCCACGTAGTCAACCGCGGTTTGCGTCCCAGACCTGATAGCTTAAAACTCACACCGGACGCCTGTGTGTGCATGCCCAAGATTCCAGGAGGAGAATGGAGGAGAAGGGATTGCAGCTTGACCATCCCCCCTGGGGGGGTGAGTTCTTGCTTTCTGTCTCTCTGTCTCTGTCTGTCTGGTGAGCACACGCACCCTATAACGAAAATCTCTCCAAAAAAAAAAAAGTCTAACATAGGGGCCAGCAGGTGGCATGGAGGTTGGGGCACTGGATTCCCACATGGCTCACCACAGTTTGAGCCCAGGCTCAGCAACTTGAAAATCATGCTGGGCATGTGTGTGTGCATGCCCAAAATCCCAAGAGAGTGGAGGAGAAGAGATTGTGGTATGGCCATCCCCTGGAGGTTGATTTCTCACCTTCTCTCTTTCTGTCTCTCTCCGGTGAGTGCACGTGCCCTATGGCAAAGACCTAAAAAAAAATTTGTATGTGCCTAGCGTATGCCTGTTATAAACATAACCCAAGCAGGAAACTTCCAGCATTAAATCGGAATTATAAAAAATATGATTTGGGGGGCCAGACAGTGGTGCTGCAGTAAAACATGATGCTTTGTGAAGCTGACTCACATGGGAAGTTCCAGGTTCATGTCCAGAGACCACCCTGAATACATCCAGTTTCGTATGTACCCATGGTTTAGGCCTCGCCGAAGCTGCGGTATGGGTTGTGGTATCAGTACTCTGTATTCTTGCTCGCTGTCCTTCTCTTGTCTCATTCATGGAAGAAATAAACAAACTTGAAAAGAATATATTTTTGGGGGCCACCTGCAGTAGCACAGTTGTAGCACAGCACTCGTTGGTGATGAACCGACATGAAATGTTCCCAGGTTCACATCCTGCGGTCTCCCTGTACACGCCAGGCACACCCTTGTGCAGGCCTGTGTTTGTGCTGGCTAGGTGAAATCCCTGGAGGGAGTAGGTGCCCCCCCTACTCTCTTTCTCTCACGGAAAAAACAAATAAATAAACTTCTTTAAAAAAATTATGTTTTTCAAGTGCAGCAAACACTGATTCCATCGTATTAATTGGCCTGTTATAGAATTTCTTTAAACTATTCTTTCTTCATTGGCCTCAGTAAGTAATTTGATTTTCTCATTGACATTTACAAGACTTAAATGGGTTTGATTAAAAAAAAAAAAAAAATCCCAGAGAGACTCATTTAAAAAAAAAAAAAAAAAAAACAACTTTGATCTCTCACAATTAAGAAAAAGTGTTGGAAGTCTTTAGCTTAATTCAGACTTTGTTATCGCATATAGGAAGTCAAAGCTGTCACTATTTCCACAGCATTTCAAAGTTTAAGGAAAATCCTGTGGGGTTGGCAGGTGGCATGGTGGTTAAAGGAACTGGACTCCCGCCTGGCTGACTGCGGTTCGAGTCCCAGACCCGGTGGCTCGTTTTCTCACTTTCTTTGTCTCTCTCTGCTCAAATTAAAAACAAAAAGATCAATAAAATAATTATTTAAAAAAAAGAAGGCTGTAAGAGTGACCATGTCATCTTGCCCCTATTCTGGTGGACAGTAAGGCTTTCTCAGTCAGGAAGGAAAGCTCAGCTTAACAACCCATTACTAGAGAGACAGCAGCGTTTGATCTCCATTCACATACTGCAAATGTCATCGAGTCAGTGGAGTTAAGTTTTGGAACTTCATCTCTAACAAAAATAGTTTACCTTAATTCTTTTAGGATTTTGTTGTGGGAAAAATTTGCCATATCTTTTTCTCTTATAAAAAATTGTTAACTTTATGTCTTGTTTCATTTAGATTGCTTATGGGAGATGAACGTGTAAAAAATGGCCTTAATTTCATGTATGAGGCCCCACCAGGGGCTAAAAAAGGTACTTGTCTCTCTCTCTCTCCTTTTTTTTTTTTTTTTTTTTTTTTGTCTTTTTAAGATAAGTTTTTTTAAAGTTGCTCTTTGCCTTTTAAAAGTGCCATTATTTGGTTGAGCAGGTGGTGTGGAGGTTAAGGCACTGGATCCCATGTGTGTGGTCTGAGTCTCGGACCTAGCATCTTGAAAATCACGTTGGGTGCATGTGCATGCGTGCCCAAAATCCCAAGAGGAAAATGGTGGAGAGGAAATTGCTGTGTAGCCATTGTGCTCTGAGGGGGAAGGTTCTCTCTTTCTTTCTCTCTCTCTCTGTCTCTCTGGTGAGCATGTATGCCCTATAGAAAAAACTAAAATAAATAAATAAAATTATTATTATTATATGAAGCTAAAAATACAATATATTAAATACTATAAAAATTTTCTAATCTAATATTTTATGATTTGGGGGGAGAGGAAAAATTTCAGCATCAGCAAAGATGCATTTATTCTTTCATAATTTGTGTATATATTTTTAGTCCTTCTTACCAAACACACTTGTACATAGAAAACATAATATTCACTGTAGATGAAAAATATACAAGTTTAAAAATTAGGAGCTAGCATGCTTATTAAGTACTATTTCTTCAATATTGTGTTTTATACTTTAGTGATCTAAATTTTTATCTTGTGAAAGAAGAAAAAAAGGTCAAATCAGTAAAATCTTTCAAATTTTAATTAACTGTTGTCATATTGTAGTGTAATAGAGAGTAGTTTTTATATTGAAGTTTTAACTTTCATATTTGTTTTTAACTTATCTTTTTTCTCTTCATATTTTTGATATGCAATCAAGAAAACAAAGAGGTAAAGGACTATTTCCTGTGTTTTAATTTATTTGTAACTTATGATTTTCATGGAAACATTAAAAGAATTTTCAATGAACATTTTTAGAAAGAAGAAACAGAAGGAGAGACTGAATACAAATTTGAATGGCAGAAAGGAGCCCCACGAGAAAAGTAAGGACAAGTTTGCTTTTTTTTTTTCATTTATTTTATTTATTATTATTATTATTATTATTATCTTTTAACTTGAACAGAGAGAAAGAGAGAGAAAGGGAAAGTGAGAAAGCAAGCTGCCAGGTCCAGGACTCAAACTGAAGTCAGTCATGTGGGAGTCTAGTGCCCTTACCACTACACCACCTGCCAGCCCCAGGACTGGTTTGTTTTTAAGATAAATTATGAATATATATTGGTTCCAGCAGGTGGCATGTTGGTTAAGACACTGGACTCTCTCATGGCCAATCACAGTTCATATCCCGGACCCAATGGCTTGAAGATTGTGCTGACCACGTGTGCTTGCTTGCCTAATATCCTAAGGGGGTAATGGAGGAAATGGGATTGCAGTGTGGCCATCCCCCCACAGTAGGGGTAATTTCTCACCCCCTACTCCCTCACCGTCTCTCTCCTGTAAACACACGTGCCCTATAGCAAAAATATATATATTTAAAAAAAGATAAATTACGTATCATTAAATTTATTTGATTTCTCATCTTAGATTGCTACTTCATTCAGTAGAGAAGACAAATAATATAAACAAGCATTTATAGGGCCCAGCAGGTGATGTGGTGGTTAAGTCACTGGCCTCCCACATGGCCAACCATGGTTCAAGTCCCAGACCCAGTGACTTGAAAATGACACTGGCAGGTGTGCATGTGTACAAGCATACCCAAAATCCCAGGAGAAGAATGCGGAAGAGAATGGAGGAAAAGGAATTGCAGCGTGCCTATCCCTCTTACAGGGTGATTTCTCACTTTCCCTCTTGCTCTGTCTCTCTTTGGTGAGCACAAACACCCTATAGCCACAAAAAAATAAATAAATAAATGAAAGAAAAGAAAAAAAGAGAAAAAAAGAAGAGGCATTTTTACTTTTTATTTAAATTTTATTTATTATTTATGTATTTATTTTTGTGATTTGCTATAGGGCACATGCGTTTACCAGAGACAGACAGAGAAAGGGAGGGAAAGTGAGAAACCAAGACTCCAGGTCTGGGAATTGAACTGTAGTGGGCTATGTGGGAGTCCAGCACCTTAAACACCTTGCCACTTGCTGGCCCAAAAAAGGACATTTTTAATGAATGATACATTTTATCTGCTTCTTTTGTTTTACATACTTACTCATTTTTTTTAAAATCACAAATTATCAGACTAGGTATTTTATCTAAGTAGTATTTGGAAATACTAAGTAGATTTTATAGTTCTATATACTTATTGAAGTAATATATTTTGTAATGTTCTTAGAACTATGAAACTGTTTTTCAGATTAAACTCCTGTCTAATTTATTAAGTTATTCTTAATACTGTGTACATTTTTTCTGTTTAATAGATACGCCAAAGATGACATGAACATCAGAGATCAGCCCTTTGGTATTCAGGCAAGTGAAACATATTTAACTCTCTAAGCATACTTTTAATCAAGCCAGCGTGGTGGGTAAAGCAGCTGGATCCCACATGGCTGGCCCCACAGTTCAAGCCCCAAAACTGGCATCTTGAAAAACTTATCAGGCACGTGTGTATTCATTCCCAGAATCCTGAAAGGAAAGAGAAATGGAGGAGAGACGGCAGGGTGACCATTCCCGGTACTTCTCACTTTCTCACTTTCTGTTTCTCTCCAGCGAGTGTGTGTACCCCGAGGCAACATTTTTTTTTTTTTTTAAAGAAACAAAAGATTTTAAACTGTACATTTGAACCAGAACAACAGGGACCGGATCCTTGTTGTAAAGAAAGTTTTATTGAAATACTGCCTTGCTGGTACAGTTATATGCATCTATGGCTACTTTCCACTATGAAAGCAGAGTTGAGTGGAAATGCTGTTGTAACAGCATTTGGCCTGAAAAGTATAGAACACTTACTATGTAGATTTACAAGAAAATTTGCCAACTTCTGGTTTGTTTGGGTTTTTTTTTGGAGAGGTTTTCGCTATAGGGCGCACGCGCTTGCCAGACAGAGACATAGAGACAGAAAGCGAGAAATCACCCCCCAGAGGGGATGGCCATGCCACAATCCCTTCTCCTCCATTCTCCTCTCGGGATTTTGGGCACGCACGCACACGCACCCAGCGTGAGTTTTAAGCCACCGGGTCTGGGACGTGAACCGCAGTCGAATACGTGGGAGTCCAGCGACATAGCCATTACGCTAACTGCTGGTTCCCCCAACCTCTGGTTTTGAAATTTAAAACTTTAAAGGTTAACTTAATAAAATTAGACAATTTGAGATTAAACCATCACATTATTTTTTGGTATTTTACCATTCTTTTTGGATAGCACTGTTGTATTGCCACCAACAAGAAGCGAAAAGAGGGGCCAGCAGGTGGTGTGGGGATTAAGGATTCCCACATGGCTAACAACAGTACCAAACATAGTTTATGGAATTACTTTCCTTGGAGATCTTTTTAAAATCTAAGTAATTTAACCTAAACTCAGCCAAAATGTAGAGGGTTGAACAGAGGAGATTAGATTCTCAGTACTTTAGTAACTAAAAAATAATGTTCGCTATTTTTCAGGTTCGAAATGTAAGGTGCATTAAATGTCACAAGTGGGGTCATGTCAACACAGATCGAGAATGTCCTTTGTTTGGTCTTTCTGGAATCAATGCAAGTTCAGTTCCCACTGATGGCTCAGGTAGGCACTTAGATACGATGAAATGGTTTTAGAATTTATCAAAGGATAAACAAGGAAAGACACATAACATTTTCCTTTAATATCTCTGGGTATTGCTTTGTTTATTTTAAGTTTTATTCTTTTTAGGACATAGGTACATTCTCAAAATGTGATGATCAGTGGACAACTCTGATCATATGTGTTGATCTTGGATAATAGAATTTAATTTTTCCAGCCAAAGGCTCTATGAATATGATTTTAAAAGTAAGATACAGTAAGCATATTTTATTGTATTAGTAGCTGAAAATTAGAAGAAAGATACGATTATTTTTCAGAGTCATAATCTTCATGAACTATAAAAATAGGCTGAACTGAAAGCATGAACAATCATCTATCTCTTTAGTTCAGAGATAAAAACAAAGCTAAGTTTAAAAAAAGAAAGAAAAGGGAACCAGCAGTTAGCATAATGGCTATGTCGCTGGACTCCCACGTAGTCGACCGCGGTTCACATCCCGGACCCGGTGGCTTAAAACTCACGCCGGGCGCGTGTGCGTGCGTGCCCAAGATCCCGAGAGGAGAATGGAGGAGAAGGGATTGCGGTGTGACCATCCCCCCTGGGGGGTGATTTCTCGCTTTCTGTCTCTATGTCTCTCTCTGTCTGTCTGGCGAGCGCGCACGCGCCCTACAGTGAAAATCTCTCCAAAAAAAAAAAGAAAGAAAAGAAAAGATCTTAAATATGTTAAAATTAGCTTTAACTTGAAAGTTAATTACCTTCGTGCACATTACTGTCTACCTAAAAAAACTGGTCTAGGGCCAGCAGGTAGTGTGTGGTTCAGACATTGGACTCTCTCACGGCCAGCTCTTGTGTCTTGAGGCTTGAAAATCATGCAGTGGGTGTGTGTGCGTGTGTGCCCAAAATCCCAACAGGAGAATGGAGGAGAAGGGATTGCAGTATGGCCATACCCCCAGGGGGTGATTTCTTACTTTCTCTCTCTCCATCTCTTTCTATAGCTAGCACACACACCCATAACAAATACTAAAAAAGAAAAAAAAAAATCCTATTGCTCTATAATTTGTTCTAAGTTTATTTATATATTTATTTATTCCATGAAGAAGAGAAAGCCCCCCCCCCCAACCACCACCCCCAATCAGGATCTTCATGCTGTAATCCACCCCCAGCCTCAGTCAGCCGGGATCATGGACATGCAGACATGCCGAGTGTGTAAAGGAAGGCCCTAGGATACAAACCCAGGGGTCCAGTTGCATAACCATGGTGCCATCATCTGGCACAAGTAATCACCTTTTTAAGTAGAAGGAAAGCTAGTTACCCAGTAAGGCAACATTGATACAGACTTTGGTCTGGCACTTGCTGACAAAAGTACATTTCACTGACGCCATAGTACAGGTACTCTTAAAAACCCACATACCTAATGCTTACTCCTACCCTGCTCCTACCCACCTGGTAGAACAAGGGGGAAAGGCCCCAAAGCAAATAAAGCCCCAAAGAAAATAGAGTGGATAGATCATATACCAAGAACCCTATGGCTCACATAATTCTGACCACTTATTTTATTAGTGACAGAATCTACAGTTATACCTGAAAAATATACTCTGTTTACTGGAAGGGGCTGCATTGTTCTGTTCTTTTCCTGCACTCCCATCTTGTAGGTTGCCTTGGGACAGGAAAATGTAGTAGCTGTCTTTGTTCCTTAATCTTGTCTTTCTCTGATCCTGATTCTGAGAGAAGGATCCAGACTTAGCAATTTCTTTTAGTAATTAATAGAGCTGATTTCTGTAGCATCTGTATTAGAAAGTCTCCTAACAAGGGACCAGCAGATGGTATAATGGCTACGTCGCTGAACTCCCATGTAGTCGACTGCAGTTCAAGTCCCGGACCTGGTGACTTAAAATCACCGGGGTGCATATGCATGTGAGCCCAAGATCCCAAGAGGAGAATGGAGGAGAAGGGATTGTGGTGTGGCCATCCACCTGGGGGGTGATTTCTCACTTTCTGTCTCTCTCTCTGTCTTTCTGGCGAGTGCACACGCCCTATAGCAAAAACCTCTCCAAAAAGAAAAAAGTCTACTACCTAACACAAGAGCTTGTGCTATTTAGTTAACCTATTTTTTTTTTTTCCCTGTTGGAAAAATCCAACAAAAAGAAAGAAAGAAAAATGTGCAAGTTTTGGGCTCCTATCACATTTTACCATATGTGTAGCCAAGTTTGAAAAGTCTGTGTTAGTGATTTTATTTTTTTCTCAGTCTAAATAGGTTGAGCACTGGGGTAAATGAGGGTCAACCCCCCCCTGGGGGGATGATTTCTCACTCTCTGTCTCCTTGTCTCTCTCTCTCTTTCTGAGTGCACATGCCCTGTAGCAAAAAATCTCTAAATAAATAAAATGTTCTTTCAAATCAGTATGGAAAAGGCAAACATACAAATACAAAGGTGCATAGGACGTGAATTTACAAAAGGAGGCAGCCCAGTGACCGTTAAACATACAGCATTAATAATCAAAGAAGAGGGAACCAGCAGTTAGCGTAATGGCTATGTCGCTGGATTCCCACGTAGTCGACCGCGGTTCGTGTCCCGGACCCGGTGGCTTAAAACTCACGCCGGGCGCGTGTGCGTGCGTGCCCAAGATCCCGAGAGGAGAATGGAGGAGAAGGGATTGCGGCGTGACCATCCCCCCTGGGGGGTGATTTTTCGCTTTCTGTCTCTATGTCTCTCTCTGTCTGTCTGGCGAGCGCACACGCCCTACAGTGAAAATCTCTCCAAAAAAAATAATAATAATAATCAAAGAAGAGAAACCTAAAATGATATAGTCCATCACATTTGGTAAAAATTTTAAAGTTCAATATATCCAGTGTTGGAACAAATATGCAAAGTCAGCGTTTTACACCTGTGTATAAATTACAACAGCCTTGGGGCCAGCAGGTGGTGTGGGGGTAAGGCACCGGACTCCCAGCATGGCTGATAGCAGTCCAAGTCCAAGTCTTGGACCCAATGGCTTGAATTTTCACTCCAGGCATGTCTGCATTCATGCCCAAAACCCCAAGAGGAGAGTGAGGAGAAGGAATTGTGGTGTGGCCAACCCCTCAGGGGGTGATTTCTCACTTTCCCTCTCTTTTACCTCTTTTTGTCTCCTGGGAGCGCATGCACCCTATGGCTAAAACCTTAAAAATAAATAAGTATTGGAGTAGCCTTTTTGGAGAGCCATTTGATGATACATTTCAGAGGCTTTAAAAACATGTATTTGCAAGGCCAGCAGATGGCGAAACAGTTATTTTGCTGAACTCCCACATGGCCAACTACAGTTTGAGTCCCAGACCCAGTGGCTTGAAATTCTTGCTGGGCTTGTGGTGCATGCCCAAGGTCCTGGGAGGAGAATGGAAGAGAAGGGATTGGGGCATGGCCATCCTCCTGGGGGTTGAATTTCTCACTTTCCCTCTCACTGTCCCTATCTTTCTCGCTCTCTCTGGCAAGGGTACAAATCCCAAGACAAAATTCTCTTTTAAAAAAATAGTATTGGATCCTCACAAAAGTCATGACTTTTCTGACAACCCAATATATCCTGTTTTTAATAAAATCAACGAATGTATAAAAAATTTTAAATAAAAATAAAATCACATCTTTCATTAATTGATAATAACAAAATAGGCCCAGCCTTGGTGGCACAGTTCATAGTGTACTGGAATGCAGTGTTCTAAGCCACATGGCTGACCAGGGGTTCAGCTCTCCAGGTCGGTCTGAAAATGTGCCGAGGTTTACTCATGCAGGCAGCCAAGAAGCGAGAGTGCTGGGGAAAGGAAACAGCAGCATGAGGAGATGCACCTGTGCATTCGTTCTCTCTCTCTTTCACTCACTCTGTCTCTCCCCTCCTTCTCTCTCCCCTTCTTATGCAGCACACATGTGTTCTCTATCATTAAACAGAGAGAGAGAGAGAAATAAGGCAGATGCTCAAAGATTTATAGGACTTAGTAGTCAAGGGCACAGACCTAGGAGCTGGGGTGCTGCATAGCTCTGGAACCCCTGCTCTGCTACTTAGTAGTTTCTTAACCTCTCTCTGCCTCCCTTTGCTATTGCCTGTAAAACAGATATTACAACAGTACCTACCCCGTAAGATTGTTACGGAAAGTAGCAATAGGGACTAGCAGTTAGCATAATGGCTATGTCGGTTCAAGTCCCAGACCCGGTGGCTTAATCTCACACCGGGCATGTGTGCATGCGTGCCCAAGATCCCGAGAGGAAAATGGAGGAGAAGGGATTGCAGCGTGGCCATCCTCCCTGGGGGTGATTTCTCGCTTTCTGTCTCTCTGTCTCTCTCTGGCTGGCTGGCAAGCGCATGCGCCCTATAGCAAAAACCTCTCCAAAAAAAAAAAAGTAGCAATAAATGAGTTGATGATGTGGATGTGTGTGGTGTTTTCAAATAGTGCTTTACATATAGTAAGTACTTTATTTTTTTAATTATGGTACATACTCCCAATAAGAATACAATACAGCCACATATATATATGAATAGGTGGAGATCTGTAGGATATACCAGGATTTATCTAGTCAAAAAGAAAAAAAAGAAAGAAAGAAAGAAAGAAAGAAAGAAAGAGCATCGAGAAGTATGTATGACTTCACAGTTAAGAGAGCCAGATTGCACATGACTCCACAGTTCGAATCAGCTTAAAAAACATCGTTATGCTCTATTTACTTTAAGTATACTTTATGCTTAAATTTATTTTAGGAACAATTAGAACAGCTAAAGAAAGCAGAGTTTCAAATGTATTATAAAGGTTATGTTCATGATGAGAAATAACTAGCAAACTGAATTCTTTGCTTTGTTCTTTACAGAATAAGTATTAGGGAAATTTCAACTTCTGTTTTTTTCTTGGTAAGACATAAATCTGAGAACAAATATGAAAAAATCCATGCATAGTTAGTTTTTTTAAATCCATGCATAGTTATTTCATAATACACATTTTTCATAAGCTTTTTGAAGATCTCTCATACTGGTAAATACACTGGGTATTTTA